CAATAAGCTAACTAATTAAAAAAAATTAATAAAAAACTATTTTTAAATTTGTTAATTTATTTAAAATTGAATTAAAATTTAAAATTAACTCAATAATTGGATTAAAAATTTAAAATTATTCAATTTTAAATAATTAAATTGATTTAATAATTAAATTAAAATATATAAATTAATTGAATTTAATTAATTAAATTATTAATTTGATTATTAATTTAAATCAAAATTGCAATTTTTAATTTTTAATTATTTATTTGTTTTTTTTTTTTCTAATTTATTACTTTAACAATCTATTATTCTTTAAAATAATTTATTTTAATAAATTATTAACAATAATCTTGATAAATAAAAGTTTAATATAAATTTATTAAACAAATAGAATATTGGTTTTAAATATAATTTAAAGTATTTTGTTTTTTTTAAAAAAAAATCATAAATGGTATTAGATATAAGCCTTTGTTTGGACAATTAATTCTACTGGCATTATATCAATCATCTCATACAAATTATATATTTTTATATATATGCAGATTAATGATTCTCTATTACTACTAGTCTAGCTAAATCTACTATCACTTTTAGAATGAGTACATCTAGCTAGTAGCTGGATGATTAATACATAGTTATAAATAGTGATGCTAGGCTAGTTAGTATGAAACTTACATATTTTTTATTAATTCACTAAACTAGTCTTTTCTTATATACTGTATATTTGACAGGAATATAATACTAATCTAATATTCCCAAATATTATTTGCTTAGATCTTGGAAGGGACATATTATCTTATTTGTTATCACTTGGGTATCAAATCAGTTTCTATTAACTGATTTTCAATTAAGCAAAGTATTAGATTGGAATATCCTGAGCTAGGAGAATGGGATTCTGGAGGCTACCAGGATAACGAGATTTTGGAATATCTATTGAAAGTTAGATAAGAAGTCTTTCTTTATGCATCTTTTGATAATGCAGCTATAAATTTCAGCCTTTGATTGATAAAAAGTCTGAAGTTCTATTTTTATATAGCCTAACCTGATTTAAACTGATTCCAGATAATTGGATATAACTTTTATAGAATAATCAGTAAACCTGACCAGAAATGTAATTTTTTGATTTGATTCTTAAGTAATATTGAACTATGAACTTTGTGATTGCAATCTGGGAGCACTATCACTGTGCTATGGACCTATATGTCTTTGATTTATATAAGCAAATAAGATATATAATATACAATCCATAAAAAAAAATAATTGAATATATGTTACAATGTTCTAGTTATAAAAATAAGATTTTGGCAATATACAATATAAAAAAATATTTGAAACAGTTTTCAAAGAATTTGACAAGTTGTATTGAGGTAAAAAAAAAAAAGCAGATAAAAAGGAGATATAACCATCAATCAATATAAAAGAGAAAAAGATGAGATAGATAGATAGGTCTCTAAATATATAGAAACAATTTTGTAAATTGGCTCAAACATACTCAGATTTTGTAGAAGGTTAATAGAAAGTGATATGATTAAAGAAGCTATTAATCAAAATTGCCATAGTAAAAAGCTAGAAACAATGATAAAAAATGGATTCTAAGAGTACAAAAGAAGATTTGCAATTAGATTCATAAACAAGTCTGGAATATAAGATATAAAAAGATTATAGGATGAGAACAAGAGCAAAGAATTAATAGAAAAGTGAAATACAAGAAGATCCGGAAAGTAAGAAGGCAAGATGTTTTGCAAGATAATCCCAACCATGAAACTACAAGGCAAAGAGATGAAGAAAGAGATGGTGAAAACAAAAATCTTGTAGAAATCATAAAAAATGAGATTAAATATGGGATGAAATGGTTGGGTTTTGATTATTGTCAGAACTTCAAGAAGTGGTCCACAGTAGTGACCTGCAGGCAATGATGTTAGAAGTTGAAAGGGTTTTTACCCAAATTATTAACAGAGTGATGAATCACTTCCAAAGTTGCACTTATAGTTTTAAATAAAAACTTTGATGAGTGAGTTAATTAAAGATTTATCTTTAGCATCACATATTAATGTATAGCCTACAATTGTTTAATAAAGTATGCATAACTAGCCTGACAGAGTGTTAAAAAAAATAATTAACGCAATTATAGCCAACCAATCATGTTGCAGTAAATCTGAAACAATAAAAAAATAATTGAAATAGTGCTAATAAAAAATAAAGGGTTTATTTTTATTATAAAAAGTTTATTATAAAAGATAGTAAACCAAATACCGTAAAATAAATGTACTGTATATTAAAAATTTATTTCTTTTATGTTATTTAACTACTCTGTAACTTTTTAACTTTTGTTTACTTACTGTACATTAATGTTTCGCGCAACAATCGATGTAAGTTTTAACTTATCATTGAATTTTGGGTTGAATTGTAAAATGTTTATTTCAGGAAAATAAACGATTGGTTAAATTGTTACATCGATAAATTATTTTCTATATAACGAAAGAATCTTTCTTAGTCTAATCCTTAACTTACTATTTTTCTTAATTCTTACATTAAATCTTATTTCTTTGCTTAAATCGAAATACTAAATCTCTCTTCTCTTTCTTTCTTTCTTTTTTTTTTTTCTAATTATTGTACGCGAAAAAAAAATCTTATCGTTGACGAGTTAAATTATAATTTTCCGTATACTCGAATAAAAACGTTATGGGCTCACCCACGAAGATAAATAGTACCTTTTAGTACTTATATATCTGGTCCTTGGAATTGCTCTTTTGATTACTTCAGGGTCTTGAAGTTCCGGAAATGCCTCTATCAAGGATTGGATAAACTCCAAGTCGTGCCTACAATACGGATAGTTAACAAATTATGAGTACAATTAAATTGAAGGTAGTGAATTAAATAGCATTTAATAATTACTTTTGGACAAGATATCCAAGGGGATTGTTACATCGGTCATCTTCTAAGCTAGCGTTAGCACCCCATTGAAAATACTTTGCAAGAATAGGCTTAATAAATTCCTTGTGTTTCATTTCCGTCACGAAGTGTAAGGAGGTCCAACCATCGCCATCTTTTTCGTTCACGTCGAACTCCTTATTCTCAAGGAACCAGTCGATTAAAGTTGGGAAGTCAGCGGCGAATTGCTTACCCCGTCTCATTAACTAAAAAATAGCAATAAATTAAGCTCGAGATCTCTTGGTAATTCCGAGGCCAATTATAAGATTGGAGACTTACACGAGAACTTGACTCGAGGAATACGCTACGGTTTTCGTGAGGATCTTTTTCATGAAGATTGAAGCCATATTCTTCCAATAAGTTCAGAATCACGCATATTTTCGATACGGGCAACTCCTGGACTGCAATCAGAGGTAAAAGCGTACTAGACTTCTGATAGGGATATAAGGCGTGAGGATCGCACCCCCTTTTCAAATGGAACAATAGCCCTTCTATGTCTCCCTCGTAACAATGATAGCCGGGCGAACACTTTGCAAATTCAAGATTGTATCTGGACATACACGTATACGATTCCTTAAAATCAGGAAGATGCATATAGCTTGTGGACGAATCTCCATGTCCGTTCGATCGCTGAGGTAATTTATCGATGTAATTGGGTTATTTAAAGTAAAATTTTGTTATCTTAAAATTTAAAAATAATATTTACTTGTCTACGCCCATCCATTTCTGTATGAAGGATGTCTGTCAGAAAAAACGTGAACGCAGAGGTTTTATTTTTTTTTATTTTTTTCTAAAAAAAGGAAAAAAGGAAAGGAAAGGTTCAACTAGTCAAGTTACGCTTAAGAAATCAAGAAATCAGTGAATGCAGGCAAAAGGAAGGAATGTGGTCTTCAGTCGAAATGGATGGGTATAAATGGGACAAATGATTTAAAGGGAATCTCTTTTTCCATATATTTATATCCGATTGTTATATAATAAAAACAAAAAAATTTTTTCCTTATAAAATAAAGTCACCCATTGTATGGTTACGTGCATGAATTTAGTCACGGTTAATTATTTATCGGTCGATGTTTGTTTATTTTTCGCGTGGTCATAGGAGATCCTCGCCTCCCCAACATTCATATGTGGAATGGCGTTACCTTTTTAATGTTGTCATGTGTTTATAATCATCATGGTCCTAATATGATCGTAAAAATTTGATTAGCCGGATTTACTTTTCATGTTTTTCAGTTGCACGAGCCACTCACCCGACTCAGAATTCACCGAATAAATGTTCTTGTGGCAATCTTTCATGGCTTTCATGAAAAAATTTTTGCGAATAGTTTTTTACATACGTACCAGATGTGCGGTGACGCCGAGAAAAAACGAACGTGCGGAAAAACATTGCCTAAACGGTACCGAGCTAGTTGAGGTATTGCGCCATATATGATTACACAACTTTTTTCTTTGTATCATCGTCTTTTCTTTGTCCAAAAAATAATTTTTTTTCAATGATAATTTCACCAATCTCTTTAATAGAGACCAACAGACATCACATAATGATGAAATATATGAACATGACGTAATCAGAATTGATTGCGGAATTAACTTTGTTCCGTTGTAAATTTAGTTTTTCACCCTCGGCGTATTTAAAAATGATCTCTTTTCTTTTTTTATGTTCGTCGATTTATGAATTTCCGGGGTAACTGTTGATACAATATGACGTACTGTACATAACAAATATATAGTGTATATTTGTTGTTGGTGCTGTCGCAAGAATATGACACTCTATTAAAAATACTCCAGAAAAAGAGAACAATTTCAAAGTTGACCAAAATTTCAAAAAAACAATGAATTATGTGAAGCACAGAAAGGACAAAAGCTCGGTAAAGCTTCATGAATTTTTAATTCGCAAGCAATGAATAAAATTATTTCCCTTATTCAGAATAAGTACGTTATCACAAAATCATATTACGCGCGCACGCACGAACTTTACCGAATTATATGCATGAAATTTTTTTTTTTTTTTTTTTTTTTCAATCCAATGATAATCACTCCATTTAAAATATTCCCAACTAAGGATAATCGGCGTAGCTCAGTGAATTGAATTAAATACCATTGTCTCATATTTCCACAAAAAATTAATTTGAACGCACTCCAAGATATAATGGGAAGTACGAACTGGTTTGATTAATTTAATGGGTTTGTCATCATGGCACCAATGCTAAACATTGCATAACCAAATAGACTGGAAAGGAAACCAATCAACAAACTTTGATATATTGTACGTACAGTACGTGCTTGATGCCCACGGGCCTTTCTATAAAAGGTTTTATGACGCGATTAAATCGTAAGAGAATTTTTCAAGACACCAATTCTTGAAACAAATGTTGCGGTGTGTGTGTGAAATGTACTAAAGTTGATGATACTAAGTTAAGTTCTTTTATAACGATATACAGTATAAAGAATGAAATTAAGGTCGCTTGTAAATGATGGTGGAGAGAATATTTCCATTAAAAATCGTAGAAATTGTAGTAGAAAATTTTTGGAGAATACTTGAGAGAAACTTATGGCATATCATGTAGTATTACCTATACTGATCAATAATATAGCAATATAGAGATGCAATAAATTATTTATTTTTATTTATTTATTTATTTTTTTTTAACCTGCAATCATGCTGTCATGGTGTGTCTTTATTGAGACATTAAATAAATATCTACAATATTGATTTTTACATGATAATTAACTCACCATTGTATGTTATTAATAAAGGATTACACTACTTGAAAAATATGAGAAGTTCACTGAGTTAGTTTGGATTAAACAAAAAATCCAAACTTGATACTTTAAATGATATTTAAAAGTTAATATTTATTTCTCTTGATAGATTAATACTTGATCTCTATCTATCAAAATAATTATCAGTAATCTATTACCATAGATTATTTTGAAAAATAATAAATTGCTAAATTCAAAAATTGAAAAAAATCAAGAGAAAGCAATTCAAAAATTTTTAATTGATCCAACAATCTTTTTTCAAAAAAAAATCTACTTAATAAGTATATTTCTTGGTTTTAAATTATTTGAAAAACTTAATTATTTCTAAATAATAAAGTTTTTTCAAAAATATTTAAGGAGTTTATTCTTTCATCAATATATAAATTTACTTATTACATTTTTTACATCAATATTATATTAAAAAATTTTGTTGATTAAATTAAAAAAGTCACATTGAAAATTTTACTTAAATACAATAGAAACTTGAAAACTTTGGCTTTAACAAAATCTTTTTACTTCTTAAAAAACTCAATTAATTAAAAGATTAATAAAATAAAAAAAAAATTTTTTATAATAATTATTTATTATTTAAAATATATTAATTAATTTCTAACAATAGAAAAAATAATTAATAAATAAAGTAAAATAAATTTTATTTTAATAAAAAAAATTTTTTTTTATAATAATATATATATATATATATATATTAAGGGGTAATAAAGCTCAGTTATACATGTACTGCAGTGGTGACCTGCGGGCAATTATGTTAGAAGTTAGAAGGGTCTTTACCTGAACCTTTAACGAAGCGATAAATCACTCCCGAAATTGCACTTAAAGAGGTAATATAATCAAAACGAGTGAGTTAGTTAGAGATTTAGCTTTAGCGTTTCATTTAATATGTATAGTTTACAAATGTTTAATAAAGCACACTTATCTAGCCTGACAGAGGGTTAAAAAAAAAAATAATAATAATAATTTTTAAAAGGTAATGAAAAATTGCATGTGGTTATAATATAACATAACTTTTTGGGATTTGTATTATATAGGTCTCTAAAGTTCTTTTTTTTTTATTACTATCAAATAAAAGAAAAAAAACACGTAACATGTTTCAACAAATGATTTCAGATTTAGGCTCTGAAAAATGATAAGGAAGTACTTCAAAGCCCTCCAAAAAGTCCAAAAGTATTCCCGGTACCCAGATCAAGTTGAAGAATAAAGACTAATACCTCATGCCAAACAGAAACAGAGCCACCCTGGAAGTGATTAAAATCCCCCAGTTATTTTCTAGAATCTTCATCTACTAGAAGGTTATCCAAAAAATCTTTAGGTATATTAAAAAAGATTTAACTATTTAAATAAATACTAATTTGTATATTTAGTTTCTAATATAATAATCAAGAGGCTTTTGAAGTTTCACAAAAGTCTCATAAAAAAATTAATCAGTTATTAAAATGTTAAAAAGCTATCGAGAATAAGATTACACACCTAGAAATTAAATTCATACAAGTCAATATTTAATCACTGAACAGGATTTTATTGAGATAAAGTTTAATTTTTAATCTTTGAAAAACTTCAATAATATTTTAAATTCTATAATAGTATGCAGTTAAGAGTATTGTAAAAGAAGTATTTTTTGAAAAAATATATACGAATCCTAAAGATTTTTGCCAGCATACAGAGAAATATTTTCAGTGAAAACATTCGGAGTTCTTCAAAGGCTTCACAAAAAAATGTTGGAAGGCATATTATAAAAAGCATATTCACCAAGTGATAATTATTGCAGTTATTAATAATATAAATAAATTTATTAACAATTTTATTTATTTAATAGCTTGTGAGACAATACAGATTGTTTCAAGGAACCACAGCTTCAAAAATCTGAAATGCCATGTTTTCAGTCTTTGGCAAAAACTTCCTGGATGTAATCAATACAAATATAACCGTTATCAAAATTACAGCCTGGAAAAATTCACAAAAAACCCTAAAGTGCTTTGAAAATCTTCATGTTTATCCTAGGGGGGAAAACCAAAGTGTGATGGCACGCATTCGCAAAAAAGTCTGGTCAAAAGAGGATAACTCTAAGGAACAAGTTGTATTCACTATCGCAATATGTCAAATGATTATAAATCTGTGTAATGAAAGTATTTTAATTAATGAAATGTTAATTAAAAGCAAAATAGAAAAAAATATAATAAGTTTTAAAATACTTCAAAATATTATAAAGTTATTTGTTTACTAATAAAATATTTTAAGAAAAAATTAAAAAGAAAATTGGATTTATGGAAGGTAATTCAAGTAATAAAGATCAAGAAATGCATAAGCAGGAAGATATTGAATTTCAAAATACTCTGGAGAAGATCAAAAATGATGAAAACAATTTGGGATTGCAACTGAAAAATGTATGAATAGAAAGATCTATTTCAGCAATGGGTGATGTAAATGTAAATGATTAATAAAAATATGTAAAAAAAGTAATTTTCAATAAATAAATTTTTAAAAATAAATATGTTAATAATAATGAGAAATTATTTTATTACAATTTAAAACATTTGAAATTCTCTGAAATTATATATATAACTTCGGAGATATCTAATGATGACAGAGTACCTCTGAAGTTTTACACCCAAAAATTTCCAGAGATTTTTGCCAAAAAAATTCCTTGGTATTGTAGCTAATGGTCATAATGTTGCCCCTGCTGAGAATTGATTAATTATTATATTGTTCTCAATTTGAATCCATACAAGACCCATTTCAAGTTAATCCTCACTTTTTGTACATTGCTTGTAAGATCCATCAAT